GGTACATAACCAATTCTTCATCCAGAACCAGTAGACCTTTTACATGCTGTTTTTCAAAGAACTTCAGCGAAAAAAAAAAGTTTATATACATGGGAAATAAAGTTTGTTTTTTATTCATGTGTGCGTAGAGAGTGGGACACAAAAACAGAATGTGTCTTGCAAAAAACTGGGGAAGAGGGGAGAACAGGAAAAGGAGAAAAGAAGAGAGAACAGAAATTTTTTTTTTTGAAAACGAAATGTATTCAAGTATATAATACCAGATGAAAATAACTAAATTTAGCAAGGATAAGGTTGTTTACCTTCCACTTTCGGAATGAAAGAATATGAAAAAAACCCCCCGATGACGAAAGGTATTATTATCCATCACGTGAAATTTGGATCGAAAAGTAATTGTATCAATAAAAGAACGTACTCATTATATAATCGTTAAACCATCCTCAGAATTGAAGGAATATATCCCGAAAGAGGCTTTGCTTCAATCGAACAACATTTCCATTCTCATCAGTCGATCTGCTTTTAATTTTTGCTTTGCTTATCAATGTTTAACCCTAACAGTCTGAAATAGCTTCACTCATACGAAATGAAGCACTCACTGCCTTCACCTAAGAATTCTGACTTTTTAATCTCCAGAACATAACTATTCACTTTCATTTTGGTCCTTTCAATGGTTGTTATCGTTGCATTTGTTGGGTTCTTGATTATATTTATATAAAAATGTATATTACGGCTAATTGAACGGTTAATTGACCGGTTAATTAAACAAATCTTAATTAACCAAATCTTAATTAACCATTAATTTCCCATCCCTAGTTCTTTATTTAAGTTCACTGTTTAAATATGGATTGCTTTAGGGAGGCTTTTTTAAATATAGTAAATAAGACTTTGTATGTAATACATTAATGCAGTATCACAAGTAATGACCATTATTGTATGATAAAAATATAGAAATAATCGAAACACCAGTTCCATGAGTTAATGTACAAAATTAAAAATAGAACATTTTTATAAAAAAAGATAGCCAAGAAAAGACTCAAAGGAATTTTGATATAATGAAATTTGATTGTTGTGTAAATTTTATGGGGAAAAAATTTTTTATTTTGGTTGTATGCAGTCTTGGTGTTTCAAATTATATCTAATATAATTAAACAAAGCATATTAGGTTTGAGATATAAAATATCCTTCCTTTCTCAATTTCTTTCCTTCTTCACAATAGTTTCACAATGCGGTTCCTTTCCATCCTTCACCAATCTTTAACAATTACCGCTCTGGGAGCGTCATTATATTTATACTATTATACAGCTTTTTGCGGATGGAAATGGAAAGGTACGCATAAGGTTCAAAATGAGGAATTCTTGTATCCTCAACAAAATGTTGGTATTTTTATTTATGATAAAAAGGTTAATGACGTCGTATTATTGTTGTAGACGCCGAAGCACGGATCTTGTTCTTAGCCGACCCACAAATCGAAGGAGATGCGAAAATACTCAGACAAGGAAAAAGAGGTATGTACTAAAAGAAATTAAAAATGACATTTTTTTTTTCCTAAAAAAGGTTAACATTTAAATTAATTCATTTTTGGAATGAATGGATTATTAGGTGAAATTGACTTATTGGCCAATGACATCTATCTTCGACATGTATATACATCTTTCGTATCACCTTATTCCTTATTTACTTATAAACCCACACATACCATTGTTCTTGGTGATTTGTTCTCTAGTCAATGGATTAGAGACGGAGAATTTAATAATCGTGTAGAAAGATATAAATGGATATTCGGCGATCCAAAAGGGGTAAGTTGATTAATTTTATTTACTTTTTGTTTATCGCATTTAAGTACCTTTTTTCTAAAATCTGTATAATCAATCTCATAGGAATACAATCATAAATTCATTAATTTAACAGGAAATCATGATATAGGATATAATTGGGATATTGATCAATATAAAGTGAATAGATGGAAAAGAGAATTTGGTCAAATGAATTTTAAAGATTGGATTCCTTCTTCATTTGAGAAAAAAAAGCATAGAATGTCTGTAATAAATTCCATGAATGTAGATGGACCTGCATTAGATGAAAATTTACGTTCCGAGACCTGGTCTTTATTAAATAATTTAAAAAATGAAAAAGAACAAGATAATTATCAAACACCTTTAATTTTCCTTACACATATACCGTTATATAAACATGAAGGAATCTGTGTAGATGGACCAATGACAAAATATGATCAAACCGGAAGATTTATAACAGAACAAAATCATCTTTCACAAAATTCATCAGAATTTATACTAACTAAATTAAGACCTAAATTTATTTTTGCGGGACACGATCATGAAGGGTGTGATGTAACTCATATAGTAAGAATCAATAAAAATGAAGAATATTCAATAAATCATTATAGGACTCGAGATTTTGAAAAAGAAAAGTATCAAATAATTTCAAAAGATGATTATTATGAGGATGGTAAATTAAAAGAGAATGTTTGGATCGTAAGAGAAGTTACTGTAAGGTCCGTTATGGGTGCATATGGCGGTAATGCTGGATTATTTGAAATCAACCGATTAACAAGTGAAGATGGATCTGAAGGTATTTAAAAAGAAATTTATCTCCTTTTTTTTTTTTTTCTTTCATGCAAATCAAATGTAACTGATTGATTCCTTTTGTTGGTTTCAATAGAATTTGAATATAATTATTCTTCATGTCCTTTTGTAATAAATCATGTACCATGGATTTTATTTATAACTGATATAATAGTTTTATCTGGATGGACAATCCGATTTATCTTGTCGAGTCTTACAGCACTTCCAAATCGTCTTAAAAATCTTTTATTATTTCAAGAAAAACAGAAAAAGAAAATGGTCAGAAGGAATAGTTATAGATATAAAAGTAATAATATCTTAAGTAATATAAATTAAAATATTAAGAGTTTCGATATTTGGTAGTAATTTAATTTGCATTTAATACTTTATTTATCTTTATAGAACTATATTGCTTTATTTTTTTCCTAGATTTTTTTTATTAAAATTTTTTACTCAAATCTTATAATATTTCTAATAATTACCATATTTTTTTAAAATCTTAGAATAAAATAACTGTTTAAATACTCTATTCATTCACAAAAATTTCAATGAAAACTTTACATCCTAATTAATCTTCTTATTATTAGAAGTTGAAGCAGCTTTTAATTCGTCATCTTTCTTTTTTCTATAAGCTTGATATTTTAGATCAGTACCCATTAAATGATCCCACCATCTAAATGATGTAGAGAAACAATTAACGAAAGCCATATGATGATAATCATGGTGCTCCGACCCTGCCCAAAATGGTAAGAAATGTCTTAAGGACCAAGGGAAATCATAACCTGAATGAGCATCAATAGTTTGAAATAATCTTAAACTGATCCAAATAAAAACAGTTATGAGATGTAGGTTATTTGTGATTGCTATGTATGCCAAAGGACCTCCAATCGTACCAGTACCCAAGATAAGTACTTCAATAGGATGAGCATATTCCGCCGTCTATTATACGAAAGATGAAGTTGTTACTTTTTTGTGTATTCATAAATTCAATCTCATGTTTTCTCCCAATACTTACTAAGCCAAATGGTGCGGAATATTCATGATGTTGTTTATGAATATATTTATAGAATGGTCCATAGTGTAACAATCTATGAAACCAATAATGAAAAGTATCTTCAAACACGAAAAAAATTGCTATTTGATAACACATAGTTTGCCAATGTGGAAATGGTACTTTGGTAATATCCATTCCAAAAAATGTGGCCACGGGATGGAATGCAAAAATCAATGGTAATTCTATTAGAAAATGAGCCTTTAATACAGATTTCAAGCAAACCCATTGTTCTTCAACTGTATTAACCTTGTTCTATTCTTGCCAAAAAAACAAATTTTTTTTAGTTGCTGATATATATATATATATTTTTTTTCTTTTTTTCTTTTTTGAATAATAAAGTTACCGTTTTACATACCGGTTGTAACTTGTATTTAGCGAAACCTGGTATGAAGTCAGCAATCATAAATGGGAAGCAACGTCCGAAATAAACAATTTCATGCATTAAAAATGAAATTATCACTGTTGCGATAACCTCACTTTCAAATAAGTTGAAATAATTCTTCCATGCGTTTTCTGCAAAATTAAGTTCATCATAACTCGTAGAGGAGTCCCCTAAAGTTTTATTCGCTGACCTATTATCGAGTTTCGTTAGCACAAGACAAATTTTTTTGTAAAAAAAAAAAAATTAAATAATAATAAAATAATTCACCAACATTATTCAGTTGCTGAAGAAATTGAAAGAAAAAAAATTTTTTGTTCCCCGAAAACCTTAAATTAAAATTTCGGTGACACTAAATTAATTCGATTATCACAAGCTTAACTTAGATCGGACAATTTGATTTGGTTGTAGTTTCATCTTAAGGTCTGTGATTGGTCGGTTCAGACCATAGTCTGATCAAGAACCGGTTTGAGGACCGGTTTAGATGATCAATCTAATTAAATATATAACTGAAAAAAACGCGTTGATCATTTTAACTAAAATTACATTCGTTTTGTATCTGGTGACATTTCTTATGAAAATGACGATTATATTTTAGATGTTTCTTCAGTTTCCTTGGCAAGAAACACAACAAAACTCGCTTTTCAAACGTGCGGAAATTATTTTTTAAATTTCTAGATTAGGAAAATTGATTAATTAAAATTATAAATGCACTTTATATGCTAAATTTTATTCCTCTGGCCAGCCAACAATAATACTTTAAAATCAATTAATTAAAAAAACATTCATTATATTATAAAAAAAAACCTTTAAATCCTATTTCCTATCACAATCCAAATCAATCATAAATTCTTTAATTTGATGCTGTTGCAATTAATTTACAGCCTTTTTCTATTATTAAAAATCCTGAATTAAATAGTTTATCAACAAATTGAATCCTCATTATATCTTATTATGTAGATAAACTTTAAAAGACAATTTTTTAAAAAATTATGATTTAAAAAGAAGTAATTTAAAAGAAAATTTCACAAATTATTTCAAAGATATCTTTCATAACAGATATATAAATATAAGATTTAATAGATTATTATCTTGAAATAATAATATATTATATTAATAATAATTGGAAATTAAAAGATCTTTTACTTAATTTAATTCTTATAAATAAATCTAATACTGCAAAATTAATTATAAACTTTTTCAAATTCTTAAATAATTAATATTAGTCATAATATTTTAGCATTAATAACAGATAATAGAAGTAATATAATAGTATGTGATAATCAATTGATAGCAGAATTAGATCAAGAATTTAATAATATAACTTATACTTATTTTTTATATGCTACTAATATTATCAATGAAGTAAAAGTCATGTAAAAGATAAAATTAAAAAACTTTGCTAATTTGTTATTAAATTAAAAAGTTTATCAATATTATTGTAAAAATTTATTCTATTAGAAAGGTTAAATTTCTAAAATTAATTTTAAATATAAATGCTTGTTAAAATTTACATATTTAATTATTGCTAAACAAATTTTAATGTAAAATATCTTAAATATGCTTGTAATAATAAATCTTAAAAAACTTTTATTACAATTTATAAATGAAACCTTATTAAAATATGTATTTATTATTTTGCTATTATAATTATTGATCTGATTTATTTAACCAATGATTATTTTACCAACAAACGATTTACTGGCAATTATTTTACTGATAGGTTATTTTATCAACAGTATCATTTTACTGAAAATAAAGTAATTATACACATTTAAATTTTTAGAAATTTGATTATTTGATATTTTTTTTTCATTTCTATTTAATGTAAAATATTAATAAAGTATAAAAACTAAACTTTATTACAAACTATCAAAAATGAAAGATTATAAGCAATTTCTTAAAGAAATTTTATAAGTGGTCAGTTTTTACAATTATTATACACTATTTAAATTTGATTTTTATGTTTACAATCTTTTCTTCTTTGTTGAAGTTATGGTATTTCTCACAAAATTAAATCTATATTAAATTAAACTTGATTTTGCTCATTTTGTATATTTTTAATAATTTTAAATACACTTATATGTGCATAACCTACTAATGTCTCCCATCTTCTATGACAAGCTTTAACAGAATTTTGGGTTTGAGAAAATATATATTCAATATTATCTGTAACTGACTAAAATAAAGAAAAAAACAATAGTTTTGATCAAATAATATTTTCACTTCTTATTATATGTCTTACTCTATCATGAATATAATAATTTTAAACTATTTTATAATATTATTTACTTCTACTGGCATATTAGTTCTCAATTTATCAAATGCTGTAGAAATTTTATCTAAAGATAAAAAAGCTAAAACAGGTATATATCTAAATAATAAACTAAATTTTTATCAATTTTATATTAAATACTAAAACTAAAAGTTTGTATTTTACGATAAATATTTTAAGATAAATAAAAATAATTTCCTTTATTTTAAATTTTTTAAATACTTTACTAATTGCATTAATTGCAACCTTTTCAAAATCTGTTAAGACAAATTAAAGTTGTAAATCAATATTATGCTCATCACTAAATTTAATTAAATTCTCAAATAATTTTTTGTAGCATTTTCCAGATTTGCTAGACATTAAAGTAAAAACAAAAAACATAATTCTTGAATTTTTATTTTCAATATGCCTATAAATTAATATAATTGTTTGAATATGTTTAGAATAGTTTTAAAGATTCCATCCATAATCTAAATAGATGTTTATATTAAATAATTAATTTTAACAGAAGTTATAAATATCATCAATCTTTCATTACCTATAATTAAATCTCTAACCAAAAAGTTAATTCTATCTAAAGTTCTTTTCATATTTTCAGGAATAATAAGTCTCTTTAAAGTTTGTGATTCTATAAGCAAATCAATATGTTAAACTTATTTAATAGTTTGACAAAGTGTATCACATAATAAAAAATAAAGATACATTTCATTTGTACTATTAGATATAATAGCTTAAATAACTTATATGGGATGAGTGCTGTGAAAATGGACCAAATTGATTTTTTTTTTAAAAAAAAGTTCCTAAGTAAAATAGATATAGATTTGGTCATCTGATTCAGATCATTTGTTATTTCAAAAAAAAATTTTTTTGTCGATTTGGTCCTTTTTCCCAGCACTCACCCCATATAATATTCATCAAATTAATTTTAATAAATTAAATAAGTTGATTACGCATTTTGGTAAAAGTCTTAGATACCTTTCTATTGAAAATTATATCATATACTGTGGCTTGCAAAGAAATATTGAATACTGTGACTTTCAAAGAATGATTCACTGATTTTAAAAGTTCTGGGTCAAATGTTACCAGATTCTCTAAAATATTTAAATTTAAATTTCACGTTTCACCCAAATGAATTAAAAGTCTTTTTGGATAATTTTCGACACGTTGGATTGAAAAAATTATTAATTAAAAACAACTCTGAGGTTCTTATTGATGAGACTTTTAGCATTTTAAAAGAATTTGTAGAGAGGAAAAAGGTGAAATATTTTGCTTACGAACTCGATCGCCTTATTCAACAAGACGATCTTGAAAATACAAAGTTTAAAAATTTGGAAAAGTTGGTTAGTGAAGTTCAACCTTTTGTGAAAATGACAAAAAGTATTAATAAACAAATTAAACATAAGCAAGATGCCTGCAAACGTTTACCGCATTCCTTTAAAAAACCTTCATCCCTAAATTAGGAATCATAGATTCACAAGATAACAAATATGGTAACTCTTGGACAGATTTTTAGATAGGCACTAACTTTCTTCTTTTTCTTTTTCTGGTGATAACAATAGTCATTAAATATGCATTTAGTGAGTCTTTTAGAGGAAAAAAACAATGATAGATCGATTCAAACGGGTTTGTAATATAAATACAGGGGATAGCTAGTACTTTAAAATTAGTTTTTTGTTTCTACTTTTGTATTTACTACTTATAAAAATTAAATAAAGTTATTGGCAGTGCCACATTGTTAAAAAAAAATGATTTCAATAATTTTAACTATTTCGGATATCCGAAATGATCTATTTCAACTTCATGTATAATTGCAAGTAAGTTCGGCATTCAAAAGTGATCTCAAACTAGTAAATTAATAAAACTACTTTGTTTTCTTACTAGTTTCTCATCAGCTTCATGATATTGTCATAATGTTATGATACCTAGTTATATTCTTAAATCATGTGTTCTAAAATCAGCTAAAATTATGTTATAGTGCCAGCTGAAATTAATTGCAGATCTACTTCACAACCCGTCACTTTTTTTTATACTATTTTAGTATTTTAAAAGGCAAGCAAATAGGCATGCATCCTTAACAAAAAACCTTTTATTCAAACTGGTACAGAGGATCAGTATTCTCAGTATAGAAGCTAACCTTCAATCAGATATTGATAAGTTCAAAAGATAAGCATCTCAATATAAATCTGATATCCAATTAAACACAAAAGACCAGTACTCTTAAATTAAAACCAAGTATCCAAATTGTTACAGAAAGCTAATAACCTTAACATAGAATTTGGTATGTAAACAGATTAAGAATAAGAATAATTAATGATACTTAGATCATATATAGTGATAGTTAAATCATATGGTGAGTGATAATTAGATTATATATTGATAAAAAATATAAATAATAGGAAAGATTTAAAGGGATAGCTAGAGCGTAAAATAGATATCTAATACAGAAAATATATAAATTATATAGTGATATCTAGATTACATTATTTAGGTTATAGGATAGTAGGTATATACAAATGAATAAAACTTAATTGTTCTTATCTATAATTACATTCTTTCATTTATTATCATCCAATATTTGTCTAATTTTATCAAATATCTTTTCTTCTTTAAGGTTATAAAAATAATAGGATTTACATGATAAATAACATATTATATGCTTTTTAAAATCCTAACAAAAGCATTCTTACTATAATATAATGAAAATATATACCTCTAATTGTAATACGATTATTTTTAAGCCACTTTTGCAATTCTTTAATTATAACCTTTTTATAATGTAAAAGTTCTGAAAATGAAACTGGTTGAATATATGATAAAAGTATATTATAGTAGAAGAAAGCAAAAGTATTATACAATTTGAATTTAGATATTTAGTTAATTTATTATATGTAATTAAGCCATATTTTTTAGTAAAATATTGATTTTTAATTATATAAATGAAATATTTTTATATAATTTAAATTAATATGTTGTAATTCATAAAATCGAATTTGAAATACTTCCAAAATTTGATTTAGTGATAATATAATTAAAAGAACAAAAATTAGATTCTGTAACTTAGAAATGATAAATATTATAGGATATCATTATATAATTTTTATTTATTTTTTTGCAAGAGAAATATCTAAAAAGCAAAATATTAAATCCTATAATAAAGCTTAATACATACTATAAATTAAAATGTAATATGTTTTTACACTTTAAATTTTATATCTTTCAATACTTTAATTTTAACAATTATTAAAATATTTATTAAATATAAACTAAAAAATATATTACTAAAAAAATATGACCCAGTTACATATGATTAATTAACTAAAATATCTAAATCAAAACTATGTAATACTTTTGTCTTCCACTGGTATGATATATGTTTTAATAACTCATATTAAGCTTGCATGACTTTTAAACCCTTTAATATACTTTATATAAATTAAATAATAAAATCTAGCTTAATCTTAGACTTTAAATATTTGAGATATATAAATAATGAAAACACTATTAGAAAAGTAAATAAAATAATAAAGAAATCATGCTTATATAGGTTTTATAATTTCAAAAAAAAAAGGTTAAAATATATACATAGTTAGTTAAATAGGTTATATAGTAGTCAAATAGGTTGAAAATGCCTTTTTTATTGAGTATTTTTTTGTGATAAATTTGTTAATAGGAAAAATAATTTTGATTAATTTATATAATTAACTGATATGATATCTATGTATATTGATTAGTAATACTATACAAATTAGACTAATAAAGTATTTATATCAATATAAGTTAAATAAAATAAAACTACCTATATAAATTGATCATCAAATTCAAATTTTAACTTATTAAAACTTATAGAAAATTTTAAAATAGCTTATAAAAAACAGTTTAATAAGCTGTATTAAAAAAATCAAATATTATAAATATTTTTTGTAAAATATTTTAAAAAGATTAAGAAGGATTATTAATTTAATTTATAATATATCATTAAGATTAAAATAAGTAATTAAAAATAATAATAATAAGATATATTATCAATATTTTTAAATAAATGTATTTATAATTTAATTTTTTTATTATTTTTTTCAAAAACAAAAATTTATTTACAATTTTTTTTTAATTTAAAAAGTTTAAAATTATAAGCTATAACAAGATTTAAATAAAATTAAAAAAATTTATTATTAAATAATTAAAATTAAAGTTTATTTTTTATTAATTTAATAAAAAACTTTAATAATAAATTAAAAAAATAATTATTTATAAAAATATATTAATAAATTAATATTATAAAATTCCATTATATATTTTATTAAAATATTAAATATATATATTAAATTTTTAATCACATTTTTATTTGAGTTAATAAAAAGATTATAACATATAAGTAAGATAAAATTCTAAAATTTATATATATAATATATTATATATATTACTAATAAATCATTGTAAGTAAAAAATTACAAATAAAAATTTAATTTGAAAATTACTTTAATCATTATACTATCAAAATAGATAAGATTTACTGTTTTAGAAATAGCCTTATCTTCTATTTTCTAAACAAATCATAATGATTTTTAAGTAAAAAAAAAAATCATTTATTAAAGTAATTATCTATATTTTCATTTTACTTTTTTATTTATCTTCTAAAATTCGGTTGAGTTGATTGACCAAATAAACTTGGCTGACTTGATTGACCGAATAAACTTGGCTGACTTGATTGACCAAATAAACTAGGTTGACTCGATTGACCGAATAAACTAGGTTGACTTGATTGACCAAATAAACTTGGTTGGCTTGATTGACCAAACATACTGGGTTGGCTTGATTGACCGAATAAACTAGGTTGGCTTGATTGACCAAACATACTGGGTTGGCTTGATTGACCAAATAAACTTGGTTGGCTTGATTGACCAAACATACTGGGTTGGCTTGATTGACCAAATAAACTTGGTTGGCTTGATTGACCAAACATACTGGGTTGGCTAGTTTGACCAAATAAGCTTGGTTGACTTTGTTGACCGAACAAATTTGGTTTTGTTTGACCGAGGTTGAATAAGTTTGATTGTGTAGTTTGACCGAATAAGGTTGATGGTTTGGGCTGATTTAAATTAAATAGGCTCGGTTGCGATGATTGGCCAAAAAGGCCAGGTTGACTTGTTTGGCCAAATAAGCTAGATTGGCTCGGCTGGACATACATATTAGGTTGAGGTGCCGGTTTGATTAAATCAATTTGACTAGGTGGCTTTAATTGATTAAGTTGAGCTGCCGATGTTATTACTGGAAGATTTTTTGCCAACTCTTGTGCTGGCTTTCTTTCATCAGAGGATGTCCCTCTCGAACCTTATTTGTGAAAATTCGAAAATTAATATAAATGCAAATCTAAAGATATAAATATAAATCTACTTACTATCTATACTTGGCTCTTTTTGTACTTCAAATGGGTTAGAATTATCATGAAAATGAACTCTTCGAAAATTTAGATATTTTTCTCGAAGTTTATCTATTTCTTCATGTAATGTTGCTACCTTTCCAGTAACAGCCATGAAACTTTGATGTTGGCTACGCATAGATTCATTAAGTGCAGCGAGATCTTTATCTGTATCAAATAACAAATATATTAATAATTTAATAATCGAACCTAATTATATAATATAATGATAATTTGAACGTACTCTCGGTTTCACTTCCTTGTTGACATAACGAAGAAAAATGTCGATCTATTTCCTATATTATGAGAGAATTAAAAATCTTATATAATAATAGATTTAAGGAAGGAAAATAAAAGTTAACCTCAATTGTGGTAGTATATTGCCTCAATCGTTCTTCGAAGGAATTTACAAGGTCATGATAATATCTAAAAATACATATATTATTAAAATCATAAAAGATGAATGGATTTAAACAAATAAAACCTTGCGTTAAATTTCTCTTACTTTGAAAACACATTATCTCCAAGTTGTAAAATGTTTCCGGTTTGACCTTGGGAAGCAGCCTCATAAAACCGTTTACCACTATCCACAATTGCGATTTGTCCTTCTAGATCCTTTAATCGTTCGTTTATTAGATTATGAGCAGTTTGTAGTTCATTCTTCAAGGCGTTCAATTTCTACACGGTATATGTTCAGCAGGTTAGCCCGGCCTATATGTGGACAATCGATTATTGTCACACAATGAATAATGAAGCCAAATGACAACTTGCTGCAATGAATATTAATGCAAACCTGAAACAAAGCTCGAGATTCATCAGCAACTTCTTTTACATAATCATTCAAATCCGGTATATGCGTGGATTCAATACTCGACATTATTATTTTTTGGTTTTGTATGAATTGCCTGAAAATATATTAAGAATAAAATAAAAAAAATATACTAAATATTTATTGCCGACATATATGACAGCAAATATATATATAAATAATTCTTCTTAATAATAAAGGATACTCTATATCAGTAATTATTTTTTGATCTTGTTCATTAAGTTCTGAAAATTTGGTTGCCTTTGTAATATTAGCTGACAGTTGTCCCCTAAAATTATTTTTAAATAGTCAAAATCATTATAATTAACTAGGAAATCCGAAAATTTTAATTATCACGAACCCTTGCGTTAATTTTACGAGCGTTCTGTTAATTTGAAAAACAATCAATTCAATATTAGTTTAAATTTAATCTTATCGAAACTTTAAATGAAATGAAAAACACCAACTTTTCTATTTCTGACGCAAGACCCCTAAATATAAATAAATAAGAACATTTTAAATAGGATATTTAAATATTAATAAAAATTCTTTAAAACGTACCCTTGTGTTGTTCCCAAAAGTGTAGGATTAAATCCCGTAAGTCCGGTCCCTATTCCGGAAGATGCAGAAGTAAGGCCAAATCCAAACCGCGGTGCAGAAGAAGCAGGAGGGGTAAAACTTGAAGATAATCCAGTTCCAAACTTTGGTTGTCCGAAAGGAGTACCTGTTCCAAACGTTGGCAATGACGAAGTAGTCGCCGTTGACAAGTTAAAAGTTCTTCCGAACGCGTTTCCTAATCGAAATACAAAAAAAAAATTTTAGATCTGTAGTAGATCAAGAATTATTTAATTTTAGCTACCTGATTGTTGTGTGTTCCAGGCAGGAGTTCTTTGCGCATTGAATAAAAAAAACAATTTCAGATATTTATTAAGTCAATTAAATCTAGAAGCAACTTTCGAATAAAATTATACACACTGTGACATATTCAAAAATGTTTTCGAAAAGACGAGAGATCTAAGGAATCATAAACGTAGATCCCTATAAGATAAACAAAAGAGAAGTTGGTTGTACAAATCGTTTACTTATTAAAACACGTGCAAATCGAAAATCGTTTGAACTATCCAAACCATCCTTTAATAATATGGAGGTACCAAAAGTTAAAAATTTCGAACTACCTGAAGCTGTGAAAAATATCGAACTGCTACCTGCAATTGTCAAAAACATGGAGCTGCCTACGGCAGTAAAAAATCTTGAACTTCCAGAAGTAGTTAAAAATATTGAGCTTCCGGAAGCAATGAAAAATTTGGATATATCTAATGCTGTGAGAAATGTTCCAGCAACTGTTATGAATAATGTACCAGAATCTATGAAAAATATCCAGGTTCCGAAGTCTATGAATACAGCAATGTTTTCTTGTGAGTAGTCTTTGATAATTTGTCTAAATTAACCATTAATGTATAATTTAGATTTGCATCGAATTAATTATATTGTTATATTACTAATCATTTGTCAACGCTTAGCATTCGCGACAACTGCCTTAACCAGTGTCGCGTCTTTGACAAAGACATTTCAGCAAAAAGTAGAAGAAACGGCAAAAAATTTACAACATGAGCATGAAGAATTTGTTAGACAAGTTAATGAGGAAGCACATAAACCTAAAGCTGGAACGGGTAGCTTTTTTTTTCATTTCAAAATTTGTTCATTTAGCCAAATATCGAGGTTATTTGATTATACAAATTTGATTTTAGAAGCCGTTGCTCCTTGGGTAGGACTTCCAAATGAAGAGAACCTTAAACAGCAAATGTTAGCATTATCCCATGTAAGGAATAAAATTTGATCAGATCTGAAATTTCGCGAATCAATATTAATCACAATCTTAATTTACCTTCGTTAGGACAAGCGAAATTTCACAATTCCTCCACCAGAAAATACAAATTTTCAATTTGATATGAATATATTTTTTCAACCAGCTATGGCTGCTTTAAATGCTGATCCTAACCTTAATTATATGCGCTTTGAGCTTGTTCCAGCTCAGTAAGTGTTTATCTATATAAAAATCAGTTATTAACAATGAATTATTAGATAGGAATTTTTTTTAAAAAAAATTTTTTTCCTTAAAAAAAAAGTGTGCAAGAACCAACATTTTGGAGGAATTATTTCTATAGAATATCTCTAATTAAGCAAACTTCATTGGGCTCAATTGATTCTATAGTTTTAGAAAATGAGGTTTATTCAAAAGATCCTAATGAAGAATCAAGAAAGATTGAAGAAAAACAGGAAGAAAAACAGGAAGAGAAAAAAGAAGAGGTAAGTATTTTACTTAAATTATTATAATATTTATCATAACTTTACGAACTAATGGTTTTAACTGCAAAAAAAAAAAAAAAATAATGATAAAGGATAAAGAACTAGAGAATTCATCAAACAAAGAAGTCTTATTTGATGCAAATAAGAGTGGAGATGAATCGGGTATGTCTAATTCAAAAAATTCGTTTTGTCAAAATATATAATATATATTTTTATTTATTATTATTAAAAAAAAAACTAGATGCTTGGATTCAAGATTTTGCTACAGCCGCTGGTATAGTAGGCACAGATGGTGATGAAGAGGAACCTGATAATTGGGAGGAACAGTTAAACCAGCATATATCCTCAGATTAATTTTATAAAAATCTTTTAACATCGCATTTTATTTATTTTATTTAATATTATATCTCAATTCTAAATTCTTGTATAAAAAATTGCTATATTCAAAACATAATTTAAATAGCAACGCTTCTCTCGGATTATCATCTTGCATCACCCCGTTTTGTTTTGTACATAGCGTTCATACACTCGTGTACCTTTAATGTTTTATAATTTTGGTTTTTATCTAATAATTTTTATCTTATACTTTCTTATCAATCATTAATAAATATATAGTATTTATGATTTTAACTAATATCAGGTAAATTAATAAATTTGGTTTTGTTAAAAGTATTATGTAATAATACAAGACAGATATCTATTCTTATATTGATCATAAAAATAACTTGAGTATTTGTTAAAGTTTCAAGTTCAAAAATACATATTAATATATAAGTTTAATAAATTAACAAAACCTGTTAAAATGAAAAATCATACCTTTGAAATTAATTTTCAAAATTTGGTATAATTATATTTTTGACTTTTCTTTTATAAAAATTTCAAATTATCATAATTAGCTTATATTTTTAATATTATCTAACTTATTTAATATAATAACCTAAAATAATTGTAATATATAAACCACTATAATATATATTATTTAATATTTAACTTACTTTTATTAAAATAAAAATGTTTTTTTTTTTTTATTATAATATAAAATATTAATATTAAAATAAAAATTAGATTTAATATTAATTATTTTAAGCAAGATGAGTTTTGAACAGTCAGATTAGATCGGATAATTGACTTGATCTAACCTGATAAAGTCAGGTCATAAAATTAAATATACATTTGACCTTATCTGATCTGATCTGATCTGTATATCATATGATTTCAGATCAATTAGGTTATATCTGAATCAATCTAACTTTTATAAAAAAGAAAAATTTTTTAATTTATTAGTTAAACAACATTTATTTTTAATGAAAATAATTTAATTCAATTATAAAAGTAATACAATTATCTCTCTATTTAATCACTTTTCATATAAGTATAACCACTATATAATCAACAAAATTTTTATGTCTAAATTTATAATTAAAAAAATAACATCATAATGGTATTATAATCACTATTACTTTTTTGCTCTCTATATAGTTACATAATCATTTAATAATTACTTATTTATTGATTTATCTAATTTCATGATAAAATTAACAATATTTTAAGTTATACTTGCATATAACCTTATTAAGGATTGGAATCGATTTTGTGAAAATTGATTCAACATAATAAAATGAATCAAATCAAATCAAATCTTTTTTATTTTTTACATATTAATCGATCTAACTCCAAAGTATTTTTCAAAGCTGCTTAAATGTTGATTATTTTGCTAAAATTAGAAACTGATATGAAACCAGGTTGAACGTTTATTTAAAAAAATTTGAAGATTCAATTAAATTGATTCTAATCCCTAAACCTTATTTAATATTTTGTAATGCATCTAAAATAATATTTATATAGTTATATTATATGCTATCAATATTAGAAATTAGTTTTACTATGCTAATCATCAGTAACCTATAAAATAAAAACGTAATAAGCATATCAAATATTACACTAAATGATCAACAATAAAACTCAATTTCTCTAATCCTGCAGATCTACCTAATAAGCCTAATGTTCATGATTTCACTTATTTCTATTATTTCTATTATATTTATTATATTACTTATATTTACTATCTTTTATATAATCATTGTATCTTATATATTAGCACTTGTAATTACAAATTTAGTTGGTTTATAGTGTAACAACTAGTTAGCCATAACAAATTAATTTTATATAAATAGAATAACTTTTTGCTCAAATTGTAAATTAACTCTTTTGTAAGTTCTTAAATACTTGTAAGTTTCAAGTAATAAAGGAATCAACTTTGAAATATAATTACTTTTTTTTCACATTAATTAAAAGTTTTAGATTTAAGAAAATTGCTAGCTTATTCTCAATTGCTGAATTAATAGTTTATTAATAAAAATAAATTGCATAGAAAAAGGTAGCATATTATTTGCTGAGTGATCAAATACCTTGTCTTTCTTAAATCCTGCAAAAAGTAGAATTTTTCAATCAAAGAAGAAATTAAAATCAAGACCCTTTTAATCAATATAAAAGAAAATCATATAGATCTACTATCAAGTTTACTATTGCTTATATTCAAGAAGTTATTGCATTAAGTAGCTCAAGTGAAAACTAACTAATCTAATCAATTTCACCTTCTTCAATTATTCAACTTTATCCAATTACTTTAAAAAGTTCAAATGATGAAACAATTACTCAAACTAATTTAAATACTATCCCTAAAACTTCTGAAACTTTTGATTCAGTCAAAGAAATTATTACCTATACTAAAGTAAATAAAGAATTCTTATTAAACATTAAACATAAAAGACAAAATATTGTGAATATTATTATCTCATAAGATGAAACTGAATTCACACTTTTAATTATTACTAATTTCAACTTTAAATAGTTGCTAACTGATTATTCTTAAAAATCACCTATTCAATTTTCAAGTTTAACTACTAAACAAGTAAAAGAATCTTTTCGAATAATTTTAAAAAGTCAAATTAAAGATCACCTGAAAATAATACATTTATTTTAATACTATTTTACCAATCATAAGATGAGAAACATTTTAAGAATCAATAACCTCTAGTTTATTTAATACTATTGTAATTGGAAATATAGGAAATAGACCTTTCGTACTCTCACTAGTTATAACAAGTATTCTAATATTTAAAGGAAAACAATTTCACTTATTTTACTCAATTAAATAAACTTAATATTTCTTCTAACTCTATAATATCTCACTTTAATAATTTATTTAGAAAAAATAATATAAAAACTCCTAGTATTACATCAGGAAGTAATAATCAACTTCAACAACTAACTTCTATAGTATTATCAGACATTTAATAAAGTAACCCAATTAATAGTTTGAATACAATGGGAATTAATACTGCTATAACTGAAAGTAGTAATACTAGAACTAGTCATACAATAACAGAAATAGACTTTAGATAATAACAACAAACTCAAACTACTCAACTTTAATAGAATATTTTTCAATTTAATCAAGGTAGTAATTAAAACACACAATTAGCTCAGGTTCTTCAACAAATTACATTTACTTTGCAAATAATAGTTGTAAATAATAATAATGCTGGATATGAACAAGTTAACTATGCAGAATTTAATATAGTAAAACCAAATTATTTTCATAAACTTAATAGTAAAGATCCATTTGAATAGATTATCACTTTTGATCGAATCGCTACAGTAAACCAATAGAATA